GCCTCCTCCCAGAAGGTAACAAGGAAAACAGATCATGAAGAGGATGTGTAGTGTCCCAGACAATCTTGCGGACCCTGCTCAAGCAACATTTTTTAAAAAATGTTATATTGATTTTTTTACAATAACAATCCTTAGTACCTAGTATACGGCGTGTTGTCTTGGTTCATATATTTTGAAAAAAATAATAATTAATTTTGGTAATTCCATAATTACTATATTAATAATATATTTCTTTGATCTTCCCTTCTCTCAATAGTATTCTCCTTCTTCAATCTTAAACAAATATAATTCTTAATATTTTCAATGCACAAATGGTTAAATATAAACATTTTTTCATGTTTGTACAAATAATAATAACGTCCATGTATGACATTTTTTTCTTATCAACTTTTGTTGTTTTTATAAAAATCATCTTATTAGTTCACCATATATCCTATTTTCATAATTCTTATTTAAGCTTAATTTCCCCTTAATATTCAAACAATTTTTATCAGTCATAATTTTCTCAATATTAGTCATTTAAATATCCAGATTTTCCATTTAGATACACCATCCCAATGTTTTCATATTTCATGTGTTATAAAATATACTATACTGCTTATCTATCTTATGACATCTACCTACTGTATAACATCTTTTCTGATCAGTTTATATTTCACTTATATTTATAAAAGGGAATTTGTTAAATCACTATATATCCTATTTTCAAAGTTCTTATTTAAGCTTAATTTCCCCTCAGTATTTCAGTTATTCCTTAGTCCTAATTCTCGTCAACTTAATTTACCTTTAAATTCCAAACTTTTCATTCATATACATCATCCCAATATTTTTATATTTTATATATTATGAAAAATACTATATTACTTATATCTCTTATCCCTCTTATTTGTAAGGCCCCTTTATATACAAAGTTATCTTGTTCTTTTAACTGTATTCAAACAAGTGTTTGCTCATGTAATACTCCATCTGGTAGGGCAAGTCAAATCTCTTGAATCTGTCTCTGACAATGATCTCTTTGGTTTTACCAATGTTTAAAAGTAGGCTATTTTTCTTATACCAGTTCACCAAACCCTCAACCGCTTTGCAGTAAGCACCTTCATTGTCATCTTGAATAAGGCCCATTATTATTGTATTATCTGCATACTTCACAATATGGTTGGTGGAAAATCTAGAACAACAGTCATGGGTCAACAGAGTGAACAGCAGCAGACTTAGGATGCAGCCCTGAGGAGAACATGTGCTCAAGAAAATGGTGTTAGAAATACTTGTTCCAGCTCGCACATACTGTAAGAAAATAGTAAGAAAATCAAGAATCCTGCTGCACAAATTAGTGTTTAAGCCTAAAAGGTCTAATTTGTCTACTAGATGCTGAGGAATGATTATATTAAATGCTGAACTGAAGTCGACAAACAGCAAATGCAGATGAGTATTTCTTTCCTCTAAGTGCCCCAAGCTCAGATGGAGAACAGAAGAAATAGCACCCTCTGTAGAGTGATTTGGTCGATAAACAAATTGAAGTGGGTCAATGCTGGTGGGAGGCTAGATACAATAATATCCTTGATCAGCCTCTCAAAGCATTTCATAATGATGGATGTCAGTGCAACAGGAAAGTAATCATTGAGACCTGTAATTAAGATAACCTTTATCTTATTAATTGTGGACTTTTTTGGCACTGGCAAAATAATGACCGTCTTAAAACATGATGGGATCACTGCCTGCTGCAATGAGAGATTGAAAATATCTGTAAGAACACAAGGCAGTTCATCAGCACATTTCCTGAGAATCCGCCCAGGGTTGTTATCTGGGCCTGCTGCTTTCCGAATGTTAACTGTCCGCAGTGTTTTCCAGACAGAGGTGACATCAAAGCTAAGCACTTGCTCGTCAGGATGAGGCAGCGCTTTCCTAGCAGGGGTGCTATTTGAGGCCTCGAAAATTCCAAAAAATATATTCAGCTCATTTAGGAAGTCTATGTCGTCCTTCCATCTTGATGGAGCCACCTCATAATCTGTAATGGCCTGGATTCCTTACCACATTTACTGTAATTCTTGCAGAGAAGGCTGATCTGTTTTTTATCACCAAGACCTGCTGGGGGCCAGAGAGTGGAAATGTGCACAGGTAGATATAGAGTATGGCACCTGCCTAAATACAGGGCAGGGAATGGGTATAGCTGTTGTCATCAGAGAATCTCTGGTGGCCTCCAGGGACATTGGTCCACAAGTGCTTGGTTGTGAAACTCTTTTAAGTTGGCCTGAAGGAACAAAATTGCTGTTGCTATACCAGCCCCCCTGTTGTGTAGCAGATTCCCTGCCCAAGCTCCTGGACCTAACTCTGGGCTGGAAGTGGAGTTTTTGGGGAATTCAATTAGTAGAAGACAAAGAAACTTACATCCCGGTGAATACCAGTCCAATACAGGAACTAGACAATTGGATCAAGAGAACTCTCAGTGACCTCCCCAAGAAAGGTCAAATCACCAAAGAGAAGCAGTGGTGGATGAGAATTAAGAATTAAGAGAATTAAGTGGTGGATGTGAAAGAGTTAACAAAAAAGCTTAGATAGCTCACAGAGTGAAGCATATACTTTATCAACTTCCCACTACAGGGTGTCCAAAGAATAAAAAAATATGTGACAATAGATGAGGATGAACTCATGGCCCCATTTGATGTCACAACCCTTTTCACATCCATACATCCAGAATTAGCCAAAGAATCCATGACTGAGCTGCTCCATAGCACACCCAACCTAACCATATACACCAATACCCAGAATCATGGATCTTATCAACCTCTGCCTAACCATGTACTTTTGATTCAATGGACAAATATATCAACAAATCAAAGGACTCCCATGGGATTGCTACTTTCAGAACTCAAAGTAGAGGCAAAATGAACTAATTTATAATTTACAATTATTTCCAACTACATAAATATTTAGAAGAGGAAACCACTAGGAAATCTCAATACTACATATTAGATTTGAAACTGAAAAAAAACCCAAAAAAACAAAAAACAAATCCCAGAAGAGGACGATGACATCATTTCTGCACTGTTGCCTAGAAAATGTGGATGATGAATCCATATAATCAGCAAGAATTGAGCTTAAGTCAACAGAAGCTCCCTTTTACTGCAATATAAACCAATAGATACCCACCAGTAAGATAAACAATGATATTAAATTGTCATGGATTTAACAGTGATATTAAGGGGCTTTCCAAATTTTGGGCCTCATACTATTGGAAAAGTATTCTACAATGGCAAAGGTTCCCAGGTGATTATCTATATATATCCCTGGGGTCACATAAAGAAAAGGTATGAACTTTGGTGTAAAGCAAGAGACAACTGGTTTTTGGCTCAGGGATCTTGGGAAATTCTAGTTCCTGTCTCCACTGAATGAATTAGAATGACAAGTATTATTTTATTCTGAATATAAAGAAATGAAAGACATACTTATTTCGGGAAATATGTTTTATGTCAACTTATGCTGGCTTGGTGCTCTCAATGACCACAATGGTTAGGTATGATGGGAGGTCTAACTCAAATACCCTGAAGTGCAGCATATTGGAATTGAAATTTATTTATTTAAGGTGAAGGTTCTAAATGAAATGAAATGACATAGCAGAGATTCTGTGAGGCTGTAATAAATATAATTTTATACTCATTCTTAGCTAAAAGGCCAAGACCTATAATAAAGATGAAAGAAAGATTATAAATGGGAAAAATGTGCCACAATTTTGAAACAGGCTAATCATCTAAGCCTCCTACAGTTTCAGATTTAGAGCCATAACAACTGTACATTTTCTTTAAAAATGAGCATCAGGAATATATGCTGCTCCTTTTCCAAATATTTGATGGTCTTTTGCCTTTAAGTTGAACTATATCTAAGGATTTAATTACAAAGAATACTTAGAAGTATTATTTAAATCTCCCCTCTCCTAATTGTAGCCTTTTGCTTCTATTTTATCCCATACAGACTGTAACACCAGTGATATTAATATATTCCAATACTAAAGTGCATTGCCTTTTAATTAGGAAGGTAACATTTGCCAGTCACTCTCTTTAAACATATGGACTTGAATAAAAATTATTTCATTAATTCGATATGCTATTGTACTCTTGTCAAAGATGCTCTTCTTTCAGGTCAAATGATCATTTTAGGCCCAGCAGAACCTTTTACATAATGGTTAGTTGGGATCTGTGTGAGTCTGCAGGACCATTAACAGACCTTGGAAGTCTGTTTTCTTATTGTCTAAGATTGATTTGTACATATGTGGAAGAGCAATAGATCTGTTTTTTAGTATTGCAGAGTTTGTACATATGTGGAAAAATAGTAGATCTATTTTTAGTGAAGTCGCAAAAAGCTTAAATTTATCTTGACTATTCCTTTATTTCTCTCTCTTCTCTTATTATTACACTATTCCTAAGTGCCTTAGTTTTAGTTCCTTCTCCCAATTCTGATAATCCTTCCATGTCTAGACCTCTTTCTACTGTGTAATTGAGACTGCAGTATAGCAGTACCACTTACACTATATACCGCTTCACAGTGCTTTACAGCCCTCTCTAAGCGGTTTACAGAGTTAGCACATTGCCCCCAACAATCTGGGTCCTCATTTTACTGACCTCGGAAGGATGGAAGACTGAGTCAACCTTGAGTCAGTGAGGATCAAACTCCTGGCAGTGAGCTGAATTTGCTTGCAATGCTGCATTCTAACCACTGGCCACCACTGGCTCTTTATCTTTATCAGTATTCTACCTCTGAAAAGAGATAGAAATCTGTTTCCCTTTTTATTATCTTTCTTTTTCTATAAAATTTGACAATTGCATCTCTCTCCTCTCTTCTCTTCCAAACTGTTCTTAGATATGGACTGTATCTGTTCACTTCTCCTTTGTAAAATGCCACTCATCATTCTGTACCACTAATGCACCACAGCTTCTAAAATCCATTGTATTGTCATTTCAGACTGATAAGTACTAAACAAAACATTGCAGGGCAAAGGAATCACTTACCTTGATTGACAACAAATCGTAACTTCTGTATCGTTGCCAGATTGCCGCTGACTCTGTATATTCCATCAACATCCAGACCTGGAAAATGAAGACATACTTCATATTGGCTTCGGTGAGTATTATGCTGTCTGTCAAGAAACTACAACTGCTGTGACAAATAAAGAGAAATATATACTTCTGTGAACTCCTTGATAATAATTCACCCGATATTCTGTAAAGCTTTTTTTCCCTCTGGCCTTTTAGATGTTCTGGATTACATTTTACAGTTCCAATTACACTTTAACACTAGCTGTTCTCCTTAGGACTGATGGAAACTAGGGTTGAACAACACCTGAAAGATTATATAGTGACTGTATTTTCTTGAAACAAAGAAAAAAGAAACATCAAATGTCAAACAATTAAGCATGGAATTTTGCCTCTTCATATAAATTCAGCACACTTGGATCTCTGCATACTATATGATAGGACTATATTCTAATTTGGATGGCATTCTGAGGACACTAAGCAGAAATATAAAATCTGATCTTTGAGTTGCATTAAGAGAACACAAATAGCACATTGTTATTTTCTTCAGCTTCTTCCCATTACAAATCCTTACTCACAATGTAACTATCATCAAGGGATATTTCATGGTGATATTAACAACGATTAATTTTAACTTAATTTCTTCTGAACCAATATATTTTATTTATATCTCATCTTTATTGGTAGTAATAATAAAGTCTTACTTTATTAAAACTTACTTATTTAAATAGATAAAAAATAAATTTAGATTTAGCTGGTTTTCATCTGCTTTTACTGTATAAACTAGTTTTTAAAAGAACCTTATAAATCACTGTTTAAGTCAATGACATGTAATGTAGTAAAGATACCAATAAACAAGTTGGTTTGGAGAGAAATATCTCATCAACGAATGTCATCACCAAATATGTAATGAGTAAAAATCTGTTTCTGCCTTGACTGAGGGAATCAGAGTTTGATAATCTTTCTTGAACTATTCTAAACCTGGATGAATGTATCTGAACACATTTCAAATATATTTGTCCAGCCAGGTTATATTGGTATTTTTATATAAACCTTTTGCAATGTTATTAAATATGACCCAAGCAATATGCACAGGTAGTCCTTGATTTACAACAATTCATTTAGTGACCGTTCAAAGTTACAACATCACTAAAAAAAGTGACTTATGACCATTTTTCACACAAGTGTTGCAGCATCCCCATGGTCACGTGATCAAAATTCAGACAATTGGCAATTGCCTCACATTTGTGATGGTTGCAGTGTCCCGAGATCATGTCATCACCTTTTGTGACCTTCTGACAAGCAAACTCAATGGGTAAACCAGATTCATTTAACAAACATGTAACTAACTTAACAACTGCCATGATTCAGTTAAAAATGTGGCAAGAAAATTTGTAAAGTGGGGCAAAACTCACTTAACATATGTCTCACTTAGCAACATAAATTTGGGGCTCAATTTTGGTCTTAAGTCAAGGATGACTTATAGAAAATGTTATATTTTTAAGAATGTTTTTTTTAAAAAAAAAAAAAACATTTAGTAAAATAGTTCCAGTTAGCAGTTCTTTGGGATGTTATTCAATATGGCAGCATGAAGATAAAAGTTGAAACAATATATCTGCTAAAGTGAATATATGCCATGTATTTTCTGGTTTATGTCAGCAATGAAAACCAAACTATGCAATATAAATTGGTGAATTTGGATATCCTTTTCATAGCTGCATAATCCTAGCTGGATTAGAAATTACTTATTTTGAAAATAGGTTTGGGCCTATTGTTTGCATATGTTTGAAGGAGAAAGGGGGAATTGGGAGAGAGTACATATTTTTTTTCAAATGGTTGATCTTAGACATTAAACTTCTGAACAATTTTCAAAGAAAATACTTCAACTTCAAAGCAGACTTTTATCTAGGATGAAAACTATCTAACGATCAGGGTTTCTTCATGATAGAGCTTAAAATAGTTAAGGGAATAAAAGATAAAACAAACAATTTCAAAATTTGTAAATTTACAGATGGCATTAATGTTGGTGGTAAACACTATTCTATCATGACACCCACTCACTACCATAAAATCCAATTTCTAGTTTAATATATGCTGACTATTTGATGTTTCAAAAAGGTGTTTATCACTAAGACATATTTCTAGCCTTCCCTTAGAGCACATCGCTGTTTCACCCTCCTTTTTTTTATTTGAAGGAGCTTTAGATAATATGAACAACCCCATCCCCATCCCAGGGACCATAATCCAAATTGTATTCAAGATTTCAGTCAGGAAAAAATGCAGCTGTTGCAACTTATTCCCACCATAAATCTTAGAAGCTTTCCACTTCATATCTAGGATAGCGATTAAATATTATTTTTCTTTCCAATGAGCCTTATATAAAAATACTCAGTTTATATAATTTATAATTTACAAACCATGGCACTCATTTTCAATTTATTTCTATGTTTAGGTAAATTCTTTCACTTAAATATATCCTCTAGGACACTTCTATAGGCTTTAACATTTTAGCTCATCACATTTAAAATAGTGAAGGCAGTGTGTATTAATAAGCAGCTGTCCATCCTCCCAACTTTAAAAGTACAGAGGTGGGTAGCAGTTGAATTGTGATCCCTGGACCTTCTTCAGCATTAAGATTCAGAGGAAAATAGTTATTTGGTAGCTACATGGCTACGTTTTCAGGAGAAATCTGGCCACATAGGTTCAAGCTAAGCTATGAAACAGGAGTGAAAATAATGCAATGTTTTTTCTATGCAACTGATCTGCCTATGTTGCATCTCCTGGCCTCCTAAAACTTCATTAAGCATTTTCAACCAACAATGATTTTTCTCTTCCACACCAGAAAGTACACTTGTTGTCAATCTTCAGCTACAGGTATTTTTTTCTTTTCTTCAGTCTCCTTCCCACTGCATAACGATAGAATGTTTTATTCACTATATATATATACCAAGAAAAAGGGCAATCAGTGAACAAACACTGACTATATATTTACCTGTGCACTTATAGTAAGATTTACAAATCAGCTTTGCTTGGGCCTTAAATTTAATTTTCTACATTGCCTTGCTTTTGTCAAGTGAGAAATTTTCATTTCAATAAAAAGCACTGTTGATAACAACAATGTCAGAAGATTTCCCTTGAAGGGCTGGTTGTGACAACTGACAGAGCATAAGCTCTGTATGTGTCTTATGTCTACCTATGTGCTACGAAACCTGTGCCATTAGTAGTATTTTTCCCATTAATTTAGAAACGGTTCCAGTAAATATACCTGCTTATTTAAAAAAGAAAGAAAGAAAGTATTTGAAAGTGGTTTTCAAGGTTTTTTTTTCTTTCTTTCTTTTTTTTAGCTAAACAAAATGACTTCATTGTTTCCACACTCCATTTTCTTTTAAACATTAGCTGGGATGACTGAGGCCGAGGAATGTGGGAAAATGGATTCCCAAGCCATGTCTATCCCTTCTAATTCTGAGCTTCAATTTTTGGCTTGGCTTGAATCACATCCTCACATTTCAGTACGGATCTCAGTGTAAAGTGATATTTTTTAAACATTTCTTTCAGTCATCATGGTATAAAAAACAAAGCAACTCTACTCTTTCAGCAAAATTCTTCTTCGTGCCCTCCTCATCCTCTTTGTCTTTTTTTTTTAAAAAAAAAACCAAAGGAATGAATTTTTTTTGCTTTGAAATGAATTGTGGAGGGAAAAATGCTTTGAAATGAGCTGTGCTTGTTTGTTTTTTTTTGTTTTTTTTAAGTCCGCTGTTTGTAAATCTTGTCATCTATATATCAGAAATTCCAGCTATTTTCATCTGCTTGGCTTGGAACTGCTAAGAGGCAGGGCATAAAAATTAGATGATTCTAATCAGCATGCTGCTGAAGACAAGTTTTGCTACGGGAGAGAAAAATCAGATGTTTAAAATCAAACTTTCTTGGTTCACAGAAACCCTTAGTGTCTCTGAATTTTTTTTCCACAGTATTTCTAGACCAAAAGACCTTTGAAAACCCATCTTTGCAGAGACGTGACATTGCAAATGGAAGTCACAAAACCCAGCATTGCAAATGGACATTGCAAAAATTTAAAATATCCTATGGTGCTCTTGTGAATTTGTTCTGCTGCCCCAGAGTGCTGCAACATATACTTTGGCAATTACACATGTAAAACTTTTTCCATCATGAACAATGAGCAGTAGTATTTAAACATCACTCTTAACTGTTTGCTTTTGAAATAAAGACGCTTTATGACAACACTGTACTTAATTTTTAAAAACCCACAAAGATGTCAAATGTGTCATTTAATAGGGATCGACATTTTATCACTTTTTAAATTAACTTTATATGCAGTCACTCTCACTGTCCAAATCAGTTTGCAGAGAATAGTAACATAAATAATAACAATGCAAAATATTTCTTTCATGCCAAAATTGTTTCCCTGAGATGTTGAGAAATCTGCTTTAGGACTAATATATAGCCTATTGTGGTAAACCTAGTTATATACCTGAATAAATAAATAAATAAATAATCCCCAATTCTATTATTACATATTAGTTTGAAATGAGTAGATAAAATGCAAGTTTAGCAACTTTATATTAATTGATCAATAACCACAGCATATTAAATTGCTTTGCAAATAATCAAAAAGACACATCTTTCTGAAAAAACAAGAGCAAGTGAGCTATTGTCAAAGCAGCCAATCACAACACACTTCCATTCCTTCACCCAAGGAAAACTGGAACATATTTTAAGTTCTTTTGACACCATTATTATTCCATCAATTCACCAAATCTGTTGTCCTGGTGAAGGCTCATACTGAGCTAGAAATAGGACTAGACCGAGAAGGCTATCTGCCTTGCAAACCAAGGGGTCTAATGTGCCCCATACAAAGATGTCAACCTGGTCCTTTCCCCTTATAATCCCCCAGTGACACTGAACATCTTCCACTCCGAGTTGGTTGCAAGGTAGCTAGTTATATCAATGTCAGAGAGAGAGAGAGAGAGAGAGAGAGAGAGAGAGAGAGAGAGAGAGAGAGAGAGAGAGAGAGAGAGAGAGAGAGAGAGAGAGAG